CCCCCCCCCCTAGAATGTGGTCAAAACCTTGGGGGAAGTGAGGGTTTGGACACATATGAAGAGGCATCCACTAGTGCTCCTGCTAAACCAAGTGCTCCTTTTGATACTACTGTCCCATCTGAACTTGCTGCCCCATCTGAACCTGCTGAATCTTAAGATGGTTTTAGTACTGAGAATAATTCAGATTCAGATCATGTAGAGCTATTTGAATAAATGGAGGAGGATTATGGTAGTGATATATATGAGGAGTATAGGTCATTTAGGGAGGAAAGAAGAACTGAGCGGAGAAAAAAGAGAAATGTTAGAGTTCCTGCAGCTGAGGGTATTAAGTTAGGGAAAAAAACAGTAGATGTGGGTTATAATGAATATGAAGTTAGGAGAGAGTCAAGACAAAGGAATCCTTTAGAGGGTAAAATAGGAGGTAATGAGTCATATTATCCTTTTGATGAGGCTGCCAACTTTGAAACAGATACAAATGTTGATGATGATGAAGGAGAGGGAGAGGTTAATCAAAGGAAAACCAAAACAAGAAGAAGAAAGATTAAAAAAAGAGTGACATGTGACCCAAACTGTAAGCAAATTGTGTGGGAGCTTGGTCTTGCATTTGAGAGTGTTGACAAGTTTAGAGAAGCTCTTACTAGGTTTGCTGTTGAAAAAAAAGTTGATGTGGATAAATATGTTAATCAACCAACAAGGGTAAAGTGTAAGTGCAAGGATGGTTGTCCTTGGCATCTGTTTGCTAGCTAGGACTCTAGGACTAAAGACTTGTTGTGAAGAAGTACATTCCAATACACACATGTGAACCTACTAACAAGAACAAATTGTGCAACAACAAGTACTTGGCTGAAAAATTCAAAGACAGAATAGGAGAGCAACCTAACATTAGGATATTCAAGTTTCAGCAGCTTGTAAGAAAAAGAATTAGGTTTGTATGTTGGGAGATTAATTTGTAGGAAAGCAAGGAACAAGGTTTTGAATGATATAATGGGTGATCATGTGCTGGAGTATAGTAGAATTTTGGACTATAGAGATGAAATGCTTAGGTCTAATCCTAGTAGTACATGTGTTATTAAACTAAGTGAAGAGACTTTCGAAGGTGGCAAGAAAATATTTGTTGGCTTCTACATCTGTTTTGATGCAGTTAAAAAGGCCTTCAAGGCTGGTTGTAGGCCCTGTATTAGATTGGATGGATGCTTCTTAATGTGTGTTTGTAAGGGGCAATTGCTTGTTGCTGTCTGTAAAGATGGTAACAACCATATGCTGCCCCTATCTTGGATAGTGGTTGAGGTTGAGAATAAGTTCAATTGGACTTGGTTTTTAAGGCTGTTGAAGGATGACCTTGAACTTGGAGATGGGATAAATTTCACATTCATAACAGATATGCAAAAGGTTAGTATTACGTTCATTATTCTATTCTTATGCTATCTTTGTATT